CTCCAGGTCCTCAGTGTAGAAATGACCGCTGGCGACCTCGCCCTCCCACTCCCGCCAATCCTTGAACTCGGGCGTTTCGCCGGGCTTCCTCTCGCCCCGGTACCTGGCCCGCTCCCCGATCGGCTCGCACTTCGCGACGGTGCGGGCGGATTTGTAGAAGAAGGCGTGGCCGTTCCAGCTCGTGAAGGCCACGGCCCGCTGCTCCTTGACGGTAGGCTCGTACTTGTCCAGCAGGCGGCCCTGGCAGTCCACGTAGAACATCGGGGCCTGGCGCCAGAGGCAGAATTCCCGGATCTCTCGGGGGGTGACGCCCTGCTCCCGCCACGTTTTTTTGGTGCAGATTGCGTCGAAGTCCGAAAGCACCTCCTGCAGCGGCAGCCGCATCAGCTCCGCGAGCTGCCGAGGGACGCAAAGCTTGTCCGGCCGCTGTTCGATTTCGTCGCCGCAGTACAGCTGGTAGGAGACGTCCCGCAGAGCCCCCAGGGGCTGATCCAGGACGGTCTCCACCACCACCCGGTCGTCTACGACCTGCATGGCCTGCTGGCTGAAGGTCCACTCCTTCGTTGCGTCCAGGTAGTAGGTCTCATCGGACAGCTCCCAAATAATGTCGTTCGGCTCGGGGTTCCCGAGCTGCGCGAGCGCGGACGCCTTGAGGTTCCGGGCCGCTTGGGCCCCTCGCTCTGCCGGGGCAGTGTGACGTTGAGGTCCGTGACGGGCAGGCGCTTCGTGCGCTCGTAGGGCATGCCGCGGTTCCGGCCGTTTCGTCGGATGCCGCGGATGATGACGGGCACGTGCACCACCCAGTCCACCCACTTGTCCTTGAAGAAGCTCTTCCCGAGCTTGGTCAAGTGGTAGTTCCCGTTGGGCTGGAGGCTGCGGAGCAGCTTTTTGGCGCCGCCCCGGAGCATGATGTAGTCGTTGGGGCCCTCGCGGATGAGGGGTTGGTTGCGGTCGTACTGCCGGCTGGGGGGCGGCCGGCCGATCAGTTGGTAGTAGTACTGGTCGGCCCTCGTGAGCTCGCCGTTCGGGCGGCTGAGCATCTCGTAGCGGAGGTGGTGGTGTGTCAAAGGAAGGGTTTCTGAGCCTGCCGCCGAGGTCCTCGCCCTGACCCCGGCCTCGGCTGCAATTCTGATCGCTTCTCGTTGTTGAGCCCAGCTCATGACTTTTGAAAACCCCGGCCGGAAAAAAGGTCGTCGCCCGAGCGGGCCCCCCTTCGCCGGTCGAGTTTTTTCCGGGCGCTTGGTTCAAAAGCATGGACCGGTATCTCGTGAACCGCCGGCCCCAGCCCAAGAATTTCATGGAAGAGGTGATCTCGACCTGGCACGACGACGCCCCGCTCGAGCGCAAGAACTTCCATGGACGGGCCTCGGAGGCCTCACAACAGCTTGGGATAACCGAGAGGGCGGCGAGGCTGATGATCGTGGCCTTCATGGCGTTGCCGCCACGTCCCCCGCCCAGACCGCAGCCCAGCAGACTCACTGCGACCGAGGAGAGTTTGACCATAGACCCACTAATCGACTGGCTGTTCCCGGACTCGGGCACCGCGGTGTTCGGGATAATCCCCGATCTCTTTCTGTGCAGCCGGGGCACTTTGCTCTGCCTGCAAGACTTTTGCGATCGCCGGCGCGACCGCCAAGCGACGCGCAGCCGGCAACAGAGGGAAGCAGCCCTCCAAAGTTTGAGGCTCCGCCTGGGCCACAAGGTCACGGACCTGGTGCTTGAATACACGAAGCCCCTGCGCGAAGGAGGCAAGCGACGGGTCCTGTGCCGTTTGGCCAGAATCGCAAACATGACCGAACACGAGCAGTGTGAAAAAATCACGAGGGCTTTCAGTGACGCATGGCAGCGGCCTAGAAACTCGTCACTGCTCCAGGGCGAGCAGGCCTAAAAATCACTGCTCTAGGGCGAGCAGGCTGCCTTAAACTCCGCAGGATTTACCCTAAACCTTAAACGTTGGCATTGTTGTTTTGCACGTTCTTGCTGGATTTCGCATGATTTTGGCATGACTTTGCTTGATTTTCGCATATTTTTTGGGCATGTTTTTTGCTGTTTTTGCGTTTTTTGCTAGAGTGCTTGGGCCGCGCTCGCTTCCTCAAAGTGTCAATGTAGCAGTAGGCTTTTGATTTTCACACGGCTAGCATGGCCGACGATGCATGTTTCAAGTCGGACACTCACAGCAGACAAGCAGCTACCACATGTTAGGAAGGCAGCAAGCACACAAGTCCTGACGCAGAGAGGTAGTGTCCCAACGCCGGGTGCACAGAGGTTTCAGGGTTGTTTGGGAAGGTGGTTGGGGGTTCTGAGGCAGCGAGGTCTGGAAGTGCAGTGTTGCAAGGTTTCAGGGTTTAGGTTGACAGGCAAGGGGCTCCGAGGCTGCTAGGTGGTTCGGACTGCGTGCAGGTAGGAGTGCTGTCCCCCACCCGTCCCTTCCCCTTGTAACCTAGAGTGTTGTGCGCTTCCCCCCCGCCCTTCCTGGAATCCCCAGGCCCTCGTGTGATCAGGTGCTCCTCGTCAGCGTCTTCGTTGCCGCGAGCCGGGTTCCACAGAGGCTTCAGGGTCGGTAGGGTTTAGGGTTGCAGGCAAGGGGGCTCCGAGGCAGCAAGGTCTGGAAGTGCTGTGCTGCAAGGTTTCGGGGTCGGGTTTTGTTCGCAGGCTTAGGCCCCCTCCTCTCCCCCCTCTTGCGGCCAGGCGCTCATCGAAAGCTTCGTCCTCGCCGCCATCTTCGATTCCACCAAAGGCGTATTTAGGGTTTAGGGGTGAAGTGCTTTGGTGTTGTGGTTGGGGTTGTGTGCCTCAAGAGGACAGTGTATGGATTTAGGGCCTAATTTAGGGAACACATGCTTCGGGAGTGCTGCGCCGTGCCTGCCCAGTGCCTTAAATCCGCGTCTTGAGGAGACTTTTTCAAGTGGCGCGATCTTCGAGCCACAAGGCGGGTGCTCCGAGTGAGCGTGGGTTGAGTGAAGTAACGTAACCCCGTGACCCCCTTTTGAAGGCTCTTGGAAAACTGAAGGCGTGACCCCGTGACCTTTTTGAGTCGGGAATGGGAGGCGTGACCCCGTGACCCCGTGACCCCTTTTGAGTCGGGAATGGGAGGCGTGACCCCGTGACCCTGTGACCCTTTTGAGTCGGGAATGGGAGGCGTGACCCCGTGACCCCGTGACCTTTTTGAGTCGGGAATGGGAGGCGTGACCCCGTGACCCCGTGACCCTTTTGAGTCGGAATGGGACCCCCCCGTGACCCCGTGACCCTTTGAGTCGGGATGGAGGGTGACCCCGTGACCGTGACCCTTTTGAGTGGGGATGGGACGTGACCGTGACCGTGACCTTTTGAGTCGGGAATGGAGGGTGACCCGTGACCCGTGACCCTTTGAGTCGGGAATGGGAGGCGTGACCCCGTGACCCCGTGACCTTTTGAGTCGGAATGGGAGGCGTGACCCCGTGACCCCGTGACCCTTTTGAGGTCGGGAATGGGAGGCGTGACCCGTGACCCCGTGACCCTTTTGAGTAGGGAATGGGAAGCGTGACCCCGTGACCCCTGACCCTTTTGAGTCGGGAATGGGAGTGACCCCGTGACGTGACCCGTGACCCTTTTGAGTCGGGAATGGGAGGCGTGACCCCGTGACCCCGTGACCCTTTTGAGTCGGGAATGGGAGGCGTGACCCCGTGACCCCGTGACCCTTTTGAGTCGGGAATGGGAGGCGTGACCCCGTGACCCCGTGACCCTTTTGAGTCGAGATTGTGATGGGGGACCATGGGGGGGGGGGTCACGGGTCACGGGGTCACGGGGGGTCGGGGGGCTCACACGGGGTCACGGGGTCACGGGGGTTTGGGGGGCTCACAGGGTCACGGGGTCACGGGGTCACGGCGTCACAGGCGGTCCGGGGGCTCACGGGGTCACGGGGTCACGGGGGGTCGGGGGGCTCACACGGGGGCACGGGGTCACGGGGTCACGGGGGTTGGGGGGCTCAGGGTCACAGGGTCACGGGGTCACGGGGGGCGCGGGGTCACGGGTCACGGGTCACGGGGTTCAGGGGGTCAGGGGGGCTGACAGGGTCACAGGGTCACGGGGTAAAGGGGGGTCGGGGGCTAAAAGGGGTAACGCGGTCACGGGGGTACGGGGGGCTGACAGGGGTCACAGGCACGGGGGTCACGGGGGGGTCGGGGGCTCGCACGGGTCACGGGGTCCCGGGGTCACGGGGGTTCAGAGGGTCCGGGGGGTCACAGGTGTCACAGGTCCAGGGGTCACGGGGGGCGGGGGGCTCACACGCGGGTCACGGGGTCACGGGGTCACGGGGGTCCGGGGGGCTGACAGGGTCACAGGGTCACGGGGTCACGGGGGGTCGGGGGCTCACACGGGGTCACGGGGGTCACGGGGTCACGGGGTCACGGGGGTCCGGGGGGGGGGTCACGGGGTCACAGGGTCACGGCGTCACGGGGGTGCGGGAGGCTCATGGGGTCACGGGATCACGCGGTTACGGGTTACGGGGGGCACGGGGGGTTACGGGGTTACGGGGGGTCACGGGGGCACGGGGTCACGGGGTCACGCGGTCAGGGGTGACCGGTCACAGGGTCACGGGGGCACGCGGGGCCGCACAGACGTCGGGTCACGCAGGTGGGCCACACGTGTGACGGGGCGCCGGCCAGGGCGCTCGAAAGATTACAGGCCCTTCACTGCCCACCAGGCCCTCCCACCCCCACCTTGCTCCCACCCTGAGACTGGGGCCAGGGTTTCACATTTCACGGGCTTTTGCAAGTGGCAAGGCTTCAGATTTCATGGGCTTTGGGGAGTGTGCCGCCGCAAGGCCCGATCCCGGTCGAGAACCCCGACCGAGGCATCTTGCAGCAGTTGCCTGTGCACACTTGCAACTGCTTCGCATGTTGAATTGCAGTTGGTTAATTAAACACTTGGCCCGTGACTGAAATAGGGGGAGCTCGACCATTCGTTCATGCAGATTGCAGTGCTTTTGCTCGAGCCAGAGGACAGCTAGGACGATTGCCGCCATGAGCCGGCCTGCAGCAACATCGCGCAAGGTCGGGCGCGCTGTGGTGCTACTGGCGCTGCTCTGGGTGTCTCTGCCAGAGCCTAAGACCAGTGCTTTGAACAGTGTTAGAGGGTTTCCCGAGCAGCCCCAGGCGAGCAACGCAGACGGCGCGGGCTTTGCTAGGAGCGGGGGCCGTGCAGTTTCCAAGGTGGGATGTGATGTATGGCATGGAACGCCGAAGATCCGCAAGCCAGCGCGAGGTCGGTTCCTCCGGGAATATGGGCACAGAGCTTGCTGGTCGCACGCAGGGCCAAGGCGGGAAGCCGAGACCGACAGGAAATTCAGTGTTAAGCGTATGTCCTGAAGAGCTGAGGCTGGCGATGGTGAGGCCGAAGACCATGAAGACGTCAAGGCGAAAAGGGTTTGTCGTTTCGGCGTGGCGTTCCTTGTGCTGTTCTGATGGCGTTTCCTTCGCTCCTGCCCGAGTGTGTCATTTTCTGACCAGGGGCCTCTGCAACCTCGTGAAGACGAAGATCAGGCAAGGTTTGCTTGTCCTTTCGGCGGCGGGAGCATCAGACGAATTTCGAGGAGCTCATGCTTGCATGAAACGGTCCTGCCAGCAGCGCATGTAGGTCTTCTCGGGATCAGTCCATGCTCGGAGGCCTCAGAAAAGGATCAGGAAGAGGCGACGACCGAGGCGTTCTTGCTGGTGAGGGCTTCACAGTTCTAGCAAGCTTCGATCAGGCGGGTGAAGGCTCGCTGAAATTAGCATTGTTGAGAATGTGCCCCTTGCTGCAGGTTTCGCGAAAAAAGGCAGTGGACGAGGCGCTTTGCGATGTCTCTTGCTTTGGTGGTTTTTGTCCTTTCGGTGTGGTGGGCCAGGGAGCTTCAGACGCATTTCGATGAGCTTGAGGGGTTGCTTATGCAGGCTGCCTCAGCACAGACTGCTGACCCGGTTGAAGATGCCAAGCAGGCTGTGCCTCCGAGGGTGTTGTTGCTTGCTTGTCTTGCTTGTTGTGGGCCATTGCGGGCTGAGTCTGAGCGGGCTCTTTGAAGTTCGCAATTGCAGATTGTGGTGCGGAGTGAGTGTCATTTCCTGGACAGCGCAGGCTTCGGAGCCTTCGGAAAGTGAGGACGAAGATAAGGCCAGGTTTGTTTGTCCATTCCGTGTGTTTTGGATTTTGCATCGAAAGCTGCTCGGCGGGATGTCGAGGAGCAGGCTGCCTCTGCGCAGACCGCCGACCCGGTCGAAGATGCCCCCAAGGCCTCCGAGCTGTTGGTTTGCGCTTCTGCTGTTTGAAGATCCCATGGCAGACTGTGGCCTTTGCCCGGTGCAGGACGAGCAGCTGCAGAAGACAGCTCTGGAGAACGAGGCTCCGGCCAAGACATGTTCGGCAAACACGGCAGGAAAATCACGGGAAAGCAGCCCTGCACCTGGCAGGATCTGGCTGCGGCAAGACGACAGCGAGCTGTGGCCCTGAGAGGGCTGGAAACGGCACAGAGCAGGCTGGAAAGGGCGGAAGCCCTGGCCGCATACCTGCAAGAGCAGCTGCTGGAATTGAAAGACAGCAGCAGCGAAAGGGCCAATGAGATCAAGCAGGATCTCCGGGAGGCCGAGCAAAAGCTCAACGAAGCCGAAACAAAACTAGAGACTGCCCAGCAGAAGTACGAGGAGGCCCAAGCAAAGGTCCAGGCAGGACGAGGGCAGGCCGGGGGGCTTCTGCGATTCTGCGTGTGCAGTTGTTGCCTTTGGTTTGCAGCACTCCCGCATGGTCACCGTTTGCTTTTTGGGGCTCTTCTCTTAGCAAAGATCTCGTCGTTAAGCTTCACTGTGTTGGCTTGCAGCACTTCGGGGAGCGGGAGGGGCTTTCGGATCAGAGGGCTCTTGGCTGCTTTAGGTTCATGCAAATCTGGTTGCCCTTCGTGTTTTGCCGATGCTTCAGAACGGGGTGTCAGTCCTAGGCTCGAGGTGGGGGGGTCAGCCTGTTTTGCGCTCGCTTTGCGCTCTCCAGGTTGCGGTTGCTTTTGTTTGAGGCTCGACTTTCAGGTTACTGTGTCCGTGAGGGGGAGTCAAGGGACCTGGGTTCTTAGTGCTTTTAGCACGCGGACCTTGCCGAGCGGGTCCCGGCAAGACGAGTGCAGGCCGGGGGGCTTCTGCGTGGGCATATTGCCTGGCACTCCTGCATGTCCGCGGCTCTTGGTCGTCGTGCGTTTTCGTGCGGTCCACCGTTGTTGCTTTTTGGGGTGCTGCTTTCCACTTAGCCCCTCGTCGTTAAGGTGTCTGCACTGTGTTGGCTTGCAGCACTTCGGGGAGCGGGAGGGGGCTTTCGGAGCAGAGGGCTCTTTGGCTGCTGTAGGTTCAATCAAACTGGATGCTCTTCTTGTTGTGCCGATGCTTCAGAACGGGGTATCAGTCCGAGGCTCGAGGTGCGGGGGTCAGCCTGTTTTGTGCTTGCTTTGCGCTCTCCAGGTTGCGGTTGTTTTTGTTTGAGGCTCGACTTTCAGGTTAGTCCGTGAGGGGGAGTCAAGGGACTTGGGTTCTTAATGTTTTTGGCACACGGACCTTGGCAGTGGGGTTCCGGCAAGACGAGTGCAGGGGGCTTCTGCGTGGGTGGTTTGTAGCACTCCTGCATGTCCGGGGCTCTTGGTCGTCGTGGGTTTTTCGTGCGGTCCACCGTTGTTGCTTTTTGGGGTGCTGCTTTCCTCTCAGGATCCCTCGTCGTTAAGGTGTCTGCACTGTGTTGGCTTGCAGCACTTCGGGGAGCGGGAAGGGCTTTCGGAGCAGAGGGCTATTGGCTAAGCTTTGGAGGGCTGTCCTGTTTGGTCAGCGTTAGCGCAGTGAGGCTCGCGGTGCAGCTGCTTTTGTAAGGCTCGACTTGAAGGGAAGCTTCGGAGGCACAGTGCTAGAGGTCTGCGGTAACGTTTTCCGGGTGTTTCAAAAGAGGCTGCCATCTTGGACAGGTGGAGCTGCTCGTGTCATTATTGCTTGTACTTTGGGTGGTTTTCGGAGGTATCCGGAAGGTTTGTGGCCAGTTCAGCTTTGCAAGTGGCTGGACCCTGCAGGCGAAGGCAGCGCCAAGGGTCATCAAGGACATGGGGAGAGTGCGTAGGGAAACCTTGTGTTTGGCGTTCATGCTCCCCTTCGCAGGAAGAAGAACTCGGTCCGCTGTCTCAAGCGCGCGTCCCCGCAGCAAAGCTACAGGATGGACAGAGGCTTGTGGGGATCGATGCCTGCGTGAAAGCTTGCATGGGCTTGATCGAGAAGTACATCAACCGAAGCGATGTGAGTGTCACGAACCGCGTGCCGCCCACCTGCGCAGCAAGATGTGCGCGAGGTGGGAAGACCACCTTCCTGCTAAAGCTTGGCGAGAGACTGGCCGAGGCTGAGTACCTCCCCATCTTTGTGTCCTTCAACGGGGAAAGCCCCGTCAAACGGCGGGACAACGAGCTAGCGGACGAGTGGCTGTACCGGACTATTGCGTATGCGCTGCTCCCGGCCAACAGTTCGCTTCGTCAGGATGTGGCAGACGAATTCGGAAACAAGACGTGTCAGAAGTCGACTCTGCAATCCTACTTCGAGTGCCAGAAGAACGTTGTTTTGCTAGTCGATGAGCTTAACCAACTGTTGCTGAGGGGCCCCACCCAAGAGGAAAAGAACGCAGAGCAAGATGCCGCCCGCTTCATGAAAAATGTCTTCCTTGGCTCTGAAGGTGCCTACATGGTCTTCACCTCCCACATTCAGTCCACGGGGCTAGACTTGACCCAGTGCATGGAGGGCGACTCCGTTAGGGGGCTGGAAATCACAGGCTTGCCATTCGCAGATGAGCTCGGAGAGCTGCAGAACATGTCGTCAGCATTTTCTGGCTTGACGCACATGAAAGCAGCCTACTACTCAAGAGTCCCAGCACTCCTTTGGTCCTCGCACGATGATGGGTCTCTGCTCTCACAAAAATTCTCACAAATCCGGGAAGACCCGCAACAGCACCTTGCCGCCTTCTTGCGCGAGGTTTTCGCAGGCACTTTGATGAGAGAGATGGAGGCTTTCAGGCAGCTCACGGACGGCAGCCAAAAAGACAGACCAATATGGATCCCATGCTTCATGTCGCACTTCCTTATCCAATGTAGCAGTGCCTGCCCTGCCTGTGGTGTTCTTGGACGGTGGCTGCAAGGCATGCAAGCTGCAGAGGAGAAGGATGGCAAGGCGTGGGAGAAGATCATCGCCGTTGCCTTCGGCTTGCGCTACATTTGGCAGCAGATGGGCGGCGAAGAGCACGGATGGCTGCATGGACATGAAGGGGCAGCAATCCAGTGTCTGGATGCCAACCCAGCGGCGAAGACTGTCGAGCAAGCAATGCAGCAGCTGCCACAACCATTGCAGTACCCAACCTTGCAGCTGGTGCTCCCGAGCCACGCACAGTTCGAGGCAGTAGACTTGTTCGCTGTGAGGAGAAAAGCAGACAGTGCTGACTTAGTCATGGTGGCGCAGCAGAAAGAAGGCAGCGCCAGTGTCAACCACCCACGGCCACAGACTGCGAAGCATGCTTACTGGATGAGAGGATCGTCGACGCAAAACGCAAAGACGAAAGATGGATGGATCCTGCCCTCGCAAAGCGAGATTGAAAAGTTCTTGGGACACTCCTTGGCAGCTGCAGCACCAGCCACCTGGCGGGACCCGGTAGACAAGCAGCAAAGGCTGGCCGCGAGAACGGCTTTGCTCTGATGCTGTCCCCTGTTTGTTTCTCTCGTGACGTCTCACCAGGCATTCCCTCGAGGCCCGCGTGCAAAGACTCGCATGTATTACTGAGATGCTGCACTTTAATGCAGGACCTCAATACCCAAGCCCGACCCTGCCCGACCCTCGGTCCAGGTCTTCCCCGAACACCTTGCGGGCAATGTAGCGGAGATTTTTGCAAACAAGAGTCGCGACGATTACGGGAAGGCATATGTTACGGGGATCACGGGTGTCACGCCAGGCAGCGAGCCAGTTCCCCGCCTGAGCCTCAGACATGCCCTGGAGCCCGTTAAAGCTTGAGTCGAAACTCCTTAAAGCTAGCAGTTGAGCCCCTGAAAGGTGAGCCCGCAACCGAAAGCTTGCCGCCAGTTGACCTTAAAGTCCCTAAAGCTTGCGGCAAAGACAGAAACTTGCCGCCAATTTGCTGAACCTAAAGCTTGCGGTGAGCCCGCCTACAGCTTGCAATCAGCCCGAAACGTAAAGCTTGCCGCCAGTTGATCGCTAGTTCAGCCCGACACCTTATAAGCATGCGTGTGAGCACGAAACCCTAAAGCTTGCCTCCAGTTGAGCCCCAAACCTAAAAGCACGCGGTTGAGCCCGAAACCCTTGAAAGCACCTGCCGAGGCTGTGGCCTTCTGAATGCTTGCTTGAGATTCTCACCCAGAAGTTGCAGAGTAACTTGTTTCTGCAGTTGCAGGCCCTAATGCTCCAATTGTCGGGAAGACTGGCCACCAGTTGAATATTCTTTGCAGACGAGAAGTCTGTTTGAGCCTTGCGTCTTGCAGTTGAGCTAAAGCCTGGGTCGAGCTGGCATGGGAAGCGAATTAGCGTGAGCTGTGGTGAGAAGGAGATCGAACAATCCCTGCCAGGCCGCACTGTGGCCCAAAAGATTTTACGCGCATTTTACGGGCACTTTTGACCCTTCTAAAAGCCAGCCCTCAGCCCTCAGGACCGCGTTTTAAAACGGGTTCCGGCCAAATCGAGGAAGAAGGACTTGCCCCAACAACGAAACAGCCGGAGGCCACGCCACAACAGAGGCCAGTTTTAAAACACAGATACAAGAGAGAGGAGGTCTGCCAAGTCTTCAGAGGCAAGCACGCCACGCAAGCTGCGCAGGCATCGCCTACTGCGGGTCTGGGGGCTTCCAACACCTTGCAAAGCATCCTTAACCTTTGGCTTGCGGAGGAACAAACCGATCGCAAAGAATGGACGCCGACGCTGCTGAGTGGCGTGTTAGCCACGCTGCCTGACTCTCCGCTGCCCGGCCAGGAGGACGCCCGGACTCCTGCGCTGTGGCATGCGGAGCGTCTACGCATGTCACAGGACTCGTTGAGCAACGAGCACGATCCGAGGACTCGCGCCAGCATCTTTGCGCTCGCAGTTGGTCCCGCCTTCCTTACGTGCCTCTGTGATACCTTTTGGGGGGCGGATGGACACCTGGCAGCGCTGCTAGGAGCGTGCTCGTACGGCTTGGCCGCTAATCGTACTTCTGTATTCATAACGGGGGCGCCTGGCAGCGGGAAGACACGATCCTGCGCGTTTCTAGGAGTTCTTCTTGCGTGCCTGACGAACCGGCTCACCCTGTACACCGCTCATGGCAATGAATCGGTTCGTGCCTATGTCGAAGCGGTTGTTCGCAGCCGCATCGTTCGCATACCGGGTAACAAGGAGAAGGACACACATAAGCTCCCCTTTGATGTGCACGATTTGTACCGGGGGCTACTTGTAGCCACGACGCATGGTACGATTGTGGCAAGGCTTAGCTTTCCCTACTCGCAGCTTATTAACTGTTTAAAGGATGTTGAGTTGCTCCTCCGAGATGAAGCCCAGCATTGGGCACACCGGGTTCCAACACCATCTTGGCGCACATCAAGCATGCACTCGATGTCATGATTGGCGACCACAGACAGCCCGCTGGAGGATCGCGGCCCAATTACCACTTCGTCACGGAGTTGTTGGAACAAAAGACTTGTGGTCTCAATGCGGTCCCTGCCGACCTCCACACGCCAGCCACCTTGCCTGCTGCCCTTTTGCGGCAAACGGCCCAAAGTTCCGGCCCGTGGAAAAAGGGGCAAGGCGAGATGCCCTCTTGGGGCAAGCCCCACCGCTCCTCTGGAGCGTCAGAAGTGTTTTTCTCAGCGGTCTCGATGCTGGATTCGATTCTCTGTATGAGCATCGTCAAACCGAAGCAAGCCGAGACAGTCATGCAGGCCGCCGGGCTGAAGGCCATTGTCGGACCGGCTATCAACCTCTCGCTCTGTTCATCCATGCGCCTCCCTCCTGAGATTGCTGCCATTCTATACGCGTGTCGGTACTCGGAGGCGTGCCGCTTCGATCTGACAGGCGGGGTCCCTCGGCTACTTATGCCACCAGGTCCCACGCTGCAGCACCTGCTCGGGCGGCCACTGCGTAGCTTTGCAGGCAGGTGGATGGAAACGTGCCGATGGGTACGGGTGCCAGATCAGGATGAGACCCAAACCAAACTAGGCAGAAGCTACGACCTCAGCATGGTCCTGGCGGACATTGTGCTCACTTTTGGGCACCAGGTTTATCCTGACTCCCCTATCGGGATGGTCTCTCAGTATGCCAGGATTGTTACTCAAATGAAGTTTATGCTGCAGTCGAGTCTCCCCGCAGACCCACTGGGCGATGACGATATGAGCCTACTTGAAGCCTGCCAAACCGCACCAGATTTCCCGCTGACTGGCGCGCCTACCACTTGGAGCTTTGTGACGTTTCGGACCTTCCTCATGAATCACATAGGGTCCCTTAAACGCTTCTTCGGCGCTATCACCACGGCTTGCTCCACTGGCCCCACATTTGGGATAGGTGTCTTTGTGACTTGTCGGGCTTCTGGATTCCTGTTTAGTAGCGAGGCAGGGTTTGCCCGAGCCACCTCCTCCTTCACGAGAGGACTTGGGGCTTTGGTTTTCGTGGCGCCGCACTACTCTGATGGTATAGGTGCATGCTTCCAAATGGCGGCCTGCGCAACCGGAGGCCTGATTGAATGCGCGGAATATGTGCAAAGGCATTACACAAGCAAGCCTTCCGAGAACGGACAGTAGCCAGCATCGTGCTGCCCGCGGAACGCAAAGTAGGGCTGGACCTTTTTGAAGCCCCACCCCTGCATCAAGCGTGGGCCTTGAAGGCCACCTGGGGAGACAAGCGGGAAGTTCTTTACCGCACACTTAAGCAAGAAGGATGGGGGAGCCCCTCTTTCACTTCCAACTCTTACTCGGGCACCATTGCTAGTCTGCAAACGCGCGGCTTCGTCCTGGAGCCCTTGCCCAATGCTGTGTATTGTGTCCCCTTCCAGCCGGTGAGGGAAGGAGATGGGGTCGCCCAGTACCTCACCTGCTTGCTAGGGGATACCAGCATTAGGACGCCGCCCAAGCGGGGATCTGCTCAACGCGCTGACCCGGCTTTCGAACACAAGGCCGGCATAATGCGAGCCCCCCGCGGTCTTCACCTCCTACCTGTTCGTACGGGTAAGGCTGCCTCCGAAACTGCGATTGATGTGGACTCTCCGGGAAACAGCCCTGTGCCCGCGAGTAGTCACAGTCCCGACGTGGTAGCTGCTACTGTAGTCGAGGTTCTTACGCCGCTGCAGTCACCAGCCCAAAGCGAGGCTATCACAAACGCGCGCCATGGCGAGCGGTGGGGTACACCATGGCTCCAGCCTCGGGCCACGAGGGGCTCCATTGCGGCAGCTGTCAGCCCGCCTCCGCCAGCTAGACGGGACGTTTCCCGAACCCCTTGCGGCACCCCAACGCGGGAGAGAGGACCACTGACGAAGGAGCCTGCAACGAAAGAGCATGCGGTTGTGCCGGCCGCGAGTCCTATTGCTCTGGATGCTTGTGTGACGACTCCCTCTAGTGAAAGTTGATCACAGGATCGGAGGGGGTAGCGCCGCCTCGTGTCCACCCCGTAGTGGAGGCAACATTAGGGACCCACCGCCTGGCGTACGACGTCCACCCAGCCCCCGGACACGGCCCATGCACGCAACATTTCCGGAGGGGATTAGGACGGTCGAGGCATCACAGCCCCCTTGCGCTAAGTCTCCCACGGACTCACTTGGCCTGACGGAACCAAAATCGTATCTCCCTATGCCTCCCCATGGCCCGACGCCCATCCCCGCCAGGCCTGTGCCCGCTGTCCAAGCTCGCAAGGAAAGTCGGCCCTCTCGTTTTGGACAAGACGGCTCTCAGCATCTGGAACCGCCAAAAGCCAAGCCTCGAGGGCCTAGCGAGCCCAGCGGCACCCGCGACCCCAGCGCCCCAGCCTGTGCACCCATCATGCAGAGCAACACAGGCTCGGTCTGTGATCTCATGTGGCGCGCACTTGCAGCGGGACATCACTTTGGTAAGAATGTCAAACCTCGGCCCTACATGAGCTTGCGTGACTCGCAACACCTCACAACACACTGCCAGCAGCTTCGGGCATATAGGGCCTATGAGGTGTTTTTGAACGGCATACCGAACCAACTGCAAGACTCGGAGATGCTGATCGGAATTGCGGACACGCTACTGCATCTGCCTGAAACGTTTCCGGCGGCGTATTTGAAGGTTTATGACCCTATCATCACGCAGTGTCTTAGACTGTCGGGGGCATTGCAGCATTTTGACCTTGCTGAAATGTTGGATTGCCCGGTTCCGCAGCTGGACAAAGCAAGGCTTTCGGAGTCCCTGGTGGGGTATGGCTTTCTTACCACAGCGCAGTACATCGCGGATCTTTTCTCTGCGGTGTCGGACTTGCCGAGTGTCATCAATGCCAGTTTTCCGGCAATGCTCAGCTACGCTGACCCAGATTATTGGCTGGGTGCACTTCTGCTCGCATTCGAGTCCCACCAAAAAGGTCCCCTGGAGCGAACGGCCGGGCTGCCCATTGTTATTGGTTTTCCTGAATCTGACAATAAAATTACTGACCTGCAGATCAATGTGCCGCCCGCAGCCATGGTGGCCTTCTTAGCTGGCCGCGCTTATCGGTGT